ATATATATATATATATATATATATATATATATATAATAAAAAAAATGACGATAAACATGCATTTGTTTACATGCATTAATATGATGGAACTAAATCAATATTTTAAGCGACAATCCCATATTCCCTCACCAATTTGATAAAGTCTTCCAATTTTCTGCACAAATTTTAAATTTTCTAAAAAACTACACCGATTAAGATTTTTCCAAATTCCCACACAAAATTTGGAAATCAATTCCAATCTTCCACATTTCGGCTGACGGCATGAAACGGGACGCAATTCCTTGAAAACATTCGATGACATGGCAAGACACGTCATAATATTGTCTACATGTCATGCCACTTGGATGAAATCTCGAACCGGAAATATAGATTTAATAACTTAAACCGGTTCGGCTTTGAGATGAAACCGAAAAATTTTAAAAATAAAAATTAGAAATTAAAAACAAAAAAAACCCTAATATTTTTTTTTTTGTAATTATGGGGAACCCTTGTGACTACCTACCTTTACAAACGGAGACGAACCGGCAACCACCCGCACCTAACAGTCCCCGTGGACCTCAGTCCGCCGGACCTGACCACCAGGTGCGCCTAACGCTCGGACCGTAGTTGGGCTTAGGCGCCTGCAAGTCAAACCCCACGCCAACGTGCACGAGCCTGCAACACACGCGGAGGAGGTAAATCAGTCCATTATGATGGGCTGACAGGCGAGCAGGTCAAAGGCAAGGAAGAGCGATGAGAGGATTCGAATCCTCCACCTCAGGGTGATGCACCCTGCTCCCTTACCACCTGACCTGGCCCCGAAGGACGAAAAACCCTAATATTTCCTAACCCTAAATCACAAGAGAGAGAGATCAGTAACTCATCTCTCCCATTTACTCTCCATGGCACGATTTCGCCGATTAGGGCAGACCCATAACCTCCGACGTCTCCAGAATCGCGGCTGAGTTTCGCCGGTGTCGCGTCCGAGTGTCGCCGGAGTTGTGGCCGAAGATGGTGTCGATGGGCTTGAGAGAGGAGGGATGAGAGTGACTGTCGTGGTTTGGAGAGAGATGAGAGTCGACAGTTAGGTCGGAAGAGGGTCTCACCGGAGAGGAACCTCGCGGCGGAGAGGACTGTCGTGCTGGAAGGGGATCTCGCCGGAGAAATCGGAGGAGAAGAGTTCTCACTGATTTGGATCGACATGAGAGGTGAATGTCGACTTTGGGGATTTTGGGTTACAGATTTGTTTTTTTTTTAATTTCGAATTTTTCAGTTTAATGTTTAAACCGATTGAGTTTAATGAGTGATTTCCGGTTTTTAGGTTACACCCACGTAGCATATACACGGACAAATTTCTGACGTATTGTGCCACATCATCGAGCGTTTTAATGGAAATTCGTTCCGTTTCACGCCGTCATCCGATGTGTAGGAGATTGGAATTGATTTTCCGATTTGGTGTAGAAATTTGGAAAAATTAGATTCTGGGGGTAGGTTTTTGGAAAATTAAAATTTAGGATAAGACGTTGGAACTTTTTATAGAATTGGTGGGGGGGGTATATGGGATTCTCCCATATTTTAAACATCTTCTATCAGTTGAAAGAAAAATAAAGAAGCCAATAGTTTTAAATGATTATTTTGGTGAAAAGTTACGCTTTCCATTAATGTGATACCTAAAGTCATAATTTTTGTACTTTCTATAATTTTTTTATTTTGTGTTAATCATAAAGAATGGTCTTTCTGTCTCCCGATTGCGCGCACATAAATTCATTACCAGCTGCCAAACACAATCATCTAATGATTAATAATAATAATAATCGCTAACCAAATAATAATAATAATAATCCAATCCTATTTAAAGATGATGATTCGTTCCAAACCCATATAGATAATCATACGAATTAACCCAAAGCATACCTGAGATTTCATATTTTGAATCTATCCGAGTTACTTGTACAATTGTTAAAATTAAAATTCACTGAATCACTCAATGATGCATCTATGTAATAATATTTGATATTAATAAAAAGAAATATTCAACCGCCGGAACAAATCAAGTAAAATTATTACAAAAGTGTCAACTTAGGCATTATTAATTCGAACTGATTGGATGCGATATTTGCTTAATTTAATATATGTGATCTTACTAGAAGGTCCCAGAGAGTATTCGATGCCCACAAGCTCTGGCTTCGGATTGGACGGAACCTTTCACTCATTATCATCACATTTTTATTTAATAATAACAAAATATAAACGTAAATATATGTTATATATATAAACACAGTTAAATAATCAGAATTACTAAAACAGTTAATAAACTAAATCGTATTGATATTAGATTAAATCTTAGCAGAAATATCATATGATATATTCATATTATACAAATGCGATCTTTATGGTATAATATAAAACTCGAGGCATATTTAGGAAAACAAGAAGGTCCAACATGCTTTATAATAAACCACCAAGCTGACAACTTGCATGAGCGTGACTAATTAAATAAATTTGTTCTTCAGTCACATCGAATTTCGACTCAAAGGCTTTTCTCCTTTCATTTTATTTGCTTTTTTAATAAATACTAGGTAAGACCCGCGCGATGCGCGGGTTATTTTTTTCGTTTGTTAATATAAGTTATTTATTTTTTCATTATAATAAAGTATTGATATGAATATATCAAAAATTGATATATATATATACACACATACAAATACATTAATATATATATACATACATATACACAGATATATACACATAAATTAATCTATACATACATATATATATACATACATATAACAAATATATATAAACATACATATACAAAAATTTTAAATTAAAAAGGAATATAAAATGATACATACATACACATATACATACAAATAAGTAAAAATAGGAATATATACATATATATATATATATCTATACAAATATTATATATATATACATATTTATAATATTCTAACAACCTATCGCGTTATCCATAATCACGATATATATATATATATATATATATATATATATATATATATATATATATTATATTTCCTCATATTGTCTAATGTTATCTTTATAATATCTTATCTAATGATAATTTTGTTTTATATATGTTATTTTTTAGATTTATTTCTTACATTATTTTAACAAAACAAAAATCGGTACAATGTGGATTGAATTGTATTTTTTATAATTGAAGTTGTTTTATAAAATAATTTTACATATATAAATATCATATCTAGAGTAATATTTTGAAACAATTTACATATTGATCTTTACTGAAATTAGAAATCTGTTTTTGACATCTATATGTGATGAAAAATAATATAAAGATTCCTTCTTTAAAAAAATCTAATAAAAATTTGATAAAATTTCATAATTTTTACTCACAAAAAATTTTAAAATTTTTATTTTAAACTTAATTAAAAGAAATTATTATTATTTTTTTCTTTTTTAAAAAATAAAGTAATATTGATACGATAAAAATGTTAAATAACAATTATATTTTTTCAAAGAAATAATAATTATTTTGAACAAATTTTATCTTAAAATTTGATTGACTTACTTTATATTAAAAATAATATATTTTAAATTTATTAAAGAATCTTAATAATTGTATATCCATAAAAAAATTTAAACTATTGGATTTATAGTGTTTTTTTATTTTATAAATTTATAAAAATCATTATGTGAATAAAATTAAAGGTTTGTCATAACAAAATATTATACTAAAAAAAATTATTTTTTAATAAACAAATAAGTAATATTAATATTCTCGTATTGTTTCCCCACGTCTAATAATTAGTATAAGACCATGTTCCTAGCGAAATTGAAAGAAAATATCAACCAGAAATCTATTTGTAATTTTCTAGGGAGTGATATTCTGTTGTAGTGTTCTCAAAACAGGGATAGAGTTAAAAATAATAATTTCGATACAAACTTGTCAGTGACTCTTCATACTTTATTTATAGATAAAAAAATTAATGTAATACTGGAAAAACAATTTTACTAAGGTGAACGAAATGTCCCACAAGACTCAGACTTAATTTTGAACAAATCAAACAATAAAAAAAAATAAAACGTAACTGAAATATGAAACTTAGGAGAAATCTCCAAAAAACGTAATCGTTAATAAGCTTCTTTATCTCCGACCGGAACTCCTCCAGATCCACTGATCCGTTCAGATACTGTCAAATTTCTCGAAGATAGAGTCCTAAAACCTCGTCAGCTCCTCGCGCGACGTCTGGACATCCACTCTAAAGTGTGATTCCAGCAGCCTCATCGACTCAAAGCCTTCTGCAGGTTCGATCACGACAGAACTCCAACATGGTTCAGATCCTGCGCCCCGAATCTCTCGTACATGCTCTCCTTGTCCGCTACAAATGACTGAACCGTCAATTCGTCGATTATCATTATTCCCATATTTTTTTTCCTTCTCTATTTTTTTTTGCATGTATTGGGGTTTTACCGAGTTTATATCTCAATGGCGTATGGTTATTAATAACAGCGGATAGGTCGGTCAGTGGGTGAGAATATGCGTATGACAATACCTTTTTTTATTTTTATTTTTTATTTTTTTTTCCACTAAATATCATTTACTTCTAAACATTATTTATAATGACAGTTTCATTTTCTTGGTAATAAAGATTATTTTATTTTATTTTTTATTATAA